CATCACCAGAACATAAAGGTAGCAAAGAAAGAGCCAAATTTATGATTATGAAGCATTAAAATAGAGATAGGGTATCATCAGCTAATCACAGATTATACTTAGGCTTTCAAAAGTATAAATAACAGATGCATAACATGTATAAGGAGCTTGTGATTCATTCCTAAACTGTATTTGCTATTCAAAGAGGATTCCAAGTATTTAAAACTTAAGCCTCAACACATCTTCAATAAATCTAACAGTAGTTCCCTAGCTTTTTACTTGCTCACTATAGCTTTTGTGTGGCCACTGACTTAAGAAAAACAAGTCAGGAACTTTTTATTTAAAACAATACTGGAAAAGACTCTCTCCCAGAATTATATCATGGCCCCTATATCACAATGTACTACTATATAAATTTTATTTTTGTTTGTTTTTTGTTTCCAAAATAAGGTTTCTCTGTGTAGCCCTAGTATCCTGGAACTCATTCTGTAGAACAGACTAGCCTCAAACTCAGAAATCCACCTGCCTCTGCCCCTCCTCCACTGACCCCAACATCCCTGTCCATGACTGCAGACAGACATTTCTCCTTCTCATTTTCACAGTGTTTATTGAGAAAATATCTGGGAAAACATTCTTTTGTGGAGCTAGTGAAAGAGAAAGAGATGGGCGTGTGGTAGTAGTGTTCTTCAGTCTCTCTAGACATGAGAGAGCGTTGTTTCTTCTGCTGCTGATCTTAAAGGTCTTGCTAAAATGCCTTGGCTCAGAACATTGTGCTGGAGTAATGATTTTAGAATTTAAGTTCCTCTGAATTTTCACTCTACAAACAATGAAGCTGAGTTAGCCCTGAGCTAGAAATACTATATATAGTTCAGTTTGGGCAGATTTATAAAGAGTCTGTTTGGGACTGGAGAAATGGTACAGTGGTTAGAGCACTAGCTGTTCTTTCAGAGGACTGGGGATCAGTTCCCAGAACCAATGTGGCAGTTTACAACTGTCTGGTAATTCTCGTTTGAGAGGATCCAGCGCTCTCTTCTGATTTCCATGGCCATTGCACCCATGTTGTGTACATAAGATAAACAGAAAACCATCACAGAAGTTTACTTGGTGTGCTAGATAGTTTTTTTGGTTTTTGTTTGTTTGTTGGTTGGTTAGTTGGTTTTTTGAGACAGGATTTCTCTGTGGAACAGTCCTGGCTATCCTGGAACTCACTCTGTAGACCAGTCTGGCCTTGAACTCAGAGATCTACCTCCTCTGCCTCCCAAGTGCTGAGATTAAAGGTGTGCACCACCACTACCTGGCCTGTGCTGGATAGTTTTATGTCAAGTTGGCACAAGCTAAAGTCATCTGAGAGGAGGGAATCTCAATTAGGAAAATACCTCCATAGGATGTAGGGCATTTTCTTAATTGGTGATTGATGGGCCCAGCCCATTGTGGGTGGTGCCATCCCTGTGCTAGTGGTCCTGGGTTCTCTATGTAAGCAGGCTGAGTAAGCCATGAGGAGCAATTCAGTAAGCAGCATTCCTCCATGGCCTCTGCATCAGCTCCTGCCTCTAGTTCCTGCCCTGTGTGAGTTCCTGCCCTCATTGCTTTTGATGATGAACTGTTATATGGAACTGTGAGTGAAGTAAACCATTTCCTCTTCACGCTGCTTTTGGTCATGGTGTTTCATCACCACAATAATAACCTTAACCAAAACACTTGAGCATAAAATATTTCCTTTTACCCTACAAATCCCATCTTTAGTATTATTGTTCATAAAAATATACTTATTTTACTTATTGGTTTTATGAGGAATTAAACCCTTAATACCTTGTGCTTTAGGACTGAGTTTTGTTTTAAATTTTGTGTGTTGTATTTGTGTATGTTTTGTGGATATGTGCACGCAGGTGCATGAGCTCAGGTCTTCATGCAGCAGGCAGTTTACTGACTAAAGCCATAGCCTCAGTGCAGGAACCAGTTTTATTTGAGCAGGCAGTCTGTTTTGTTTTGTTTTTGAGACAGGGTCTCGAATAACCCATACTGGCCTTGGGCTCTTAATCCCCCTGCCTCTACCTCCCAAGTGCTGTAATTACAGGTGTGCCATCATGCTCAGCCAAGCAGTTAATTTTTATTATTAATAATATTGGGCTAAAATAGCTGGGCAGTGGTGGCACATACCTTTAATCCCAGCACTTGGGAGACAGAGGTGTGCAGATCTCTGTGAGTTCGAGGCCAGCCTGGGCTACAGAGTGAGTTCCAGGAAAGGTGCCAAAGCTACACAGAGAAACCCTGTCTCAAAAAAAAAAAACCAAAAACAAAAACCCAAAAAACAATATATATATATATATATATATATACACACACACACACACACACACACACACACACACACACACACACACACACATATATATATGCTAAAATAATAGCAGACTCAGATTTTGTTTTGCAAGTATATTCCTTGAAAAATAAAGAAGCATGCATATTGCTTATGTGGTAGGGCTTCTGCTGGAAGAACTTAGGATTTGATCTGATCTCTCATAACTGAAATCTTAGTTTCCATATGAAAGGTAGAGAGCACTAACATCTGGGTATGAACTTCCCAGCCAGATGTGCCTGAATACCAAAAGAATAAACTACATTTATCTGTAGCCTGTAGGAATTTCACTTAAGTGTAATTAGACTCAGCAGAGTTTTGCTATGGAAGTAAGGGTTGTGGGAAGTGTGTGAGAAGGCAAGAAAGTTACTTTATTTTTTTCTTCTTAGTTTTATAAAATTGAGGAAAAACTGAACAACAAAAGCAAAGCTAAACTAAACTTAGGTGGCTTCTTTCCAAACTGGCTGGAGGACTTGGCTGTTAATAGCTGTGCCTTATGTATCTCTTTTAATATTTCTGACTAAAAAGGAGGGCCACAACTGAGCCTTTACTCTGTTGTCGGGGTCCTGAAGAAAATGGATGATTTCTCTTTCCATTCCTCCAGTGTGGTAGGCAAGTTTTTCTTTTTTTTTTCTCCCCTCCAGGAATGGATTGTTCTTAAAGCAGGGGTATTTTAATGGTATTTAGTTATTAAACATGACATTTTACATTATTTCTTGTTTGTTAGAAATGATTACTATCTCAGCATACTATAGGCTTAGCGCTATCTATATTCTTTCTCCCTTCTTATAATGTAGTCCAGGGCTCACTGTAGTTAGCACATATTCAGAACTTCGGTTATGAAAAGAGTATAAAAGGTTTGAAATGTAGAGGTTCCCTCTGTGTGTTTTCAGGATTGAAGTATGTGTTAATCTGTATGACTGTGCTGTTAGTTCATTCATTTACAAATGCACATACAACAATAATTGCAATCAATTTTATAACAATTTGATCACTGTGAAAAGGAACCATGGCCAGGTAGTGGTGGTGCACGCCTGTAATTCCAGCACTCCGAAGGCAGAGGCCAGCCTGGTCTACAGAGTGAGTTCCAGGAGAGGCACTAAAACTACACAGAGAAACCTTGTCTCAAAAACAAAACAAAACAAAACAAAACAGAAAAGGAACCATGGACCTATTACCAGCCATATTCCATTTACCTCCCAACCCCTCTTGTCCAGCCTAAGGCAACTGCTGACCTCCTGTTTCAATTCATTGTCCATATAAATGGACTTATATAATAGATGGCCTTTTGTGTCTGCCCTTTATCACTTAGCATAGCATAATGTTTTGAAGGTTCATCCATGTTGTTGCATACATCAGTAAGTAATTACTTTTTATTCCCAAAATGTATTTATTTATTTTATGTGTCTGGGTGTTTTTTTTTGCATGCATGTCAGTACACCATGTGTACCTGGTGCTTGTGGAAGCCAGAAGAGGGCATCAGATTCCTATGGGACTGCAGTTACAGACAGTTGTAAGCCTCTATGTGAGTGCTGGGAATTGAACCCAAGTCCTCTGGAAGAGCAGCCATTGCTCTTAACTGCTGAATCATCTCTCCAGCCTCCAAAATCTAAGTTTTAAGATTATTTGGATCAAGTTATCGTGTTGCACACTTGTAATCTCAGCACTTAGAAAGCCAAAGCAGAAGGGTCTTGAGTTTAAGGCTAGCCTGGACTATGCGGAGTGAATCTATATTTAAAAAAAAAAAAAAGAGATTCATTTAGTATTTTTTTTTCCCTTAAACTGCTCTTCCCCTTTTCATTGTTAAATAATCCCAGGTTGGAGAAACGGCTCAGTAGTTAAGAGCATTGCTTGCTCTTGCAGAAGACCCGGGTTCTATTCCCATGAACCATATGGAGGTTTTCAAATGTTTGTAACACCAGTTCCAGGATGTCCAACACTTGCTCCTGGTGCACATACACACATGCAAGCAAACACTTAACACGTAACATTAAATAAATCTTAAAAACAACAACAGCATCAAAGGTTAAATAATCCCCAAAGTCCCAAAAAGTAAGCTAGATCATTTCTGTAAGCTGTGAAGTAGTAGTCTGCATGCCCAAGAGCATTTGACAGTTGATGGTTTTGCAAGAGAAGAGATTTGAGGACTTTTTAAAATGTTTTCAGAAATTGTGATCTTAGCTATGCTGTGGTAAGCCCAGTTAAATAGGACTGTCATTGTGACCCAAAATATTGGTCCATTTCAATAGACTTGTTTTGTTTTGAGACAGGGTTTCTCTGCATAGCCCTGGCTGTCCCTGGAACTCACTCTGTAGACCAGGCTGGCCTTGAACTCACAGAGATCCACCTGCCTCTGCCTCCTAAGTGCTGATATTAAAGGTGTGTAGCACCATCACCTAGCCATTTCAATAGACTTATATCAATGATATTTTTACATGTAAAAAGCTTAGGTCATTTCTATATTCTCTTTAGTAATTATTCACTAAGAAATACCAATGTATTATTAGAAATAGAAGACTTTAAGCCTTTTACCTAGAGGCTATAGGCATCAAATGTGTAAAGGAAATTCTGTTATTATTTACAGTTTATCTAGATATCCAAGAAGACTTACATGCACTGTACTAATGCTCTCTTTCTGTTATTTTTGAACATGTGACTTCTTCAGGATCCTTCAAAGAGCAGTACGTGCAAAAGGTTAGTATCTCCCTATGAAGTTCCTTACACTCTGCATAATGTTTGGTAAGAGGTTCTTTTTAAGTGTACGTTTGGGGCTAGGGAGATGGCTCAGCAGCAAAGAGCACTGGCTGTTTTTCTAGAGGACCTGGGTTTGAGTCTCAGCACCTACATGGTGGCTCACAACCATCTCTAATTCCAGGTCAGGGGGTGGGGGTGGGATCTGATGCCCTCTTCTGGCCTCTGGACATTAGGCATGCACATTATACAGACAGATATGTAGGCAAAATATCTATATGCATAAAATTTAAAAAGAAAAACCAAAGCAAAGAATTTCTATGCAGATACAGGCAGCAGTAGTTCGTTTTGGGGAGGGAAGGGTATTAATTATTTTAAAAATAGGGTGTGAAGTTGGGAGGGAGACAGGGTGGAAACTCTGAGCAGTGGTCCTCCATCTCCTAACGCTACAACCCTCTAGTACAGCTCCTCTTGCTGTGGTGACCGCACCATACAGTTATTTTTTTTATTTTTTATTTTTTGGTTTTTTGAGACAGGGTTTCTCTGTAGCTTTGGAGCCTGTCCTGGACTTGCTCTGTAGACCAGGCTGGCCTCGAACTCACAGAGATCTGCCTGCCTCTGCCTCCCGAGTGCTGAGGTTACAGGCGTGCACCACCACTGCCTGGCTTCCATAAAGTTATTTTTGTTGCTACTTCATAACTGTAATTTTCCTGCTGTTGTGAAACATAATGTAAATATCTGTTTTCTGATAGTCTTAAGTGACCCCTGTGAAAGGGTCATTCAACCCCCAAAGGGGTTGTGACTGACAGTGGAGAACCATTGCTCTTGAGAGTTGGAGGGGGTAGTAGTGGAAGGACATCACCAAAATATAACATATGAATGTATGAAATTTTCAAAGATCATTGTTGTTTTTAAAAGAATTATTATACAAAATACATAAAGAATCTTGCAAATAAACTTTTAAAAATATCCCAATAGAATATGCAAAAAGATTTGCATTTAAATACTTTACACGGAGTTGGGGATTTAGCTCAGTGGTAGAGCGCTTGCCTAGCAAGCACAGGGCCCTGGGTTCGGTCCTCAACTCCAGAAAAAGAGAAAAATAAATAAAAATAAATAAATAAATAAATAAATAAATAAATAAATAAATAAATAAATACTTTACACAAATAGAGGCATGTAGAAAAAGGTTTGGTGTCATATCACTAAAATCTATTTCACACCTAGTATGTGGGCAAAAACTAGAGTTCCTACACATAAAAAGACTTGCTTATTAGGAAGGGAGTTACCAAGACTCTTAATCCCTCTTCTGGGAGCATTCACTTTGAGAACATTTTGGCAGTGTCTAGTAAATAACTTTTGACCTAACAATTCCATTTTCTATGGAAGCTACAATAGAAACATGTCACAAATCAGAGCATAGTGTGCCTGCCTTATAGTCCCAGCTACTGGGAGGGTTGTTTGACCCAGAAGTTTTGAGACCAACCTTGGCAACATAGTAAGACTATCGTCCAAAAGAAAGGTACATGGAAACAGATACGTGAATATTTATAGCTGGGGCTGGAGAGATGACTCAGTGGTAAAGAGCATTGTCTGCTCCTGGAGAGGACCCAGGTTTGCTTCCAGCACCCTCATGGCAGTTCACTATCAGCTCTCTAACTCCAGTTTTGGGGGATCTGACACCTTTTGACCTTTGAGAGTGCCAGGAACTCATATGGTGCACATACATATAATCAGTCAAAACACCCATACACATAAACTAAATAAATTATAAAAAATTAAAAAAAAAATGTCAGGTGTGGTGCCAAGGCTGTAGAGTGAGACCCTATCAAAAAAAAAAAAGATATTTATAGCAACATTACTCAAGACATTCAAACACTGGAAAAACTTCAAATATCTATTGAACGAGTAATAAAATGAACTCTAATATAGTCATATGGTAAAATAATACTGAATAATAAAAATTAACAAATCACAATTATTTGCAGTAACCTGGATGAATCTCCAGAAAAAAATGCTGTCTCTGGCACAAAATTATTATTGGTGCTCAGTCTCTTTGAGTCCAGTGGAAAAGCAATTCTTGTTTGTCTTCACACTTAAACAGTAGCAAAAGTGATGTGAGACTTGGTGGCAAGTCTTCTCTTTGTACTGGAGAAGTTTTCTTCGGTGTTTTCTTGGGGCCCTCTCTCTGGACTCGAGTCTTTCGCAGCTGCTCTTCAGAAAGCCTCAGTTACTTAAGGGTTCCCGTGTTCCACAGTCTCTGCTGTGCATGCTGTCTTGGCCTTCTAAGCAAAGCTGCCTGCCTGTCATTCTCATTGGTTGGGAGTAACTTGCCACTGTACTTCTGTGTGCACTGTGCTAGATGTGTTTAGGCAAAGAGAATAATTTTGTTAACAATCTCAGCTGGCTTTATTTGTTTGGAACTTTTTTATACCAAGATTGGATATGTCTTAAATAGAGGGGCAGCCAAATCATTTGGGTCACAAAAAGCCTCACAGCTTAAGCCTGGCAGAGCTAATAAGCTCTAGTAAAGAATTGTTTTAAGGGGGCTGGAAAGATGATTCAGCAGTTAAGAGCACTTGCTACTCTTCTAGAGGACCTGGGTTCAGTTCCCTACACCCACATGGCAGCTCACAACCGTCTGTAACTCCAATTCCAGGGGATCTGACACCTTCTGGTCTCCTCAGGCACAGGGCATGCAACTGTATAGAGACTTACATACAAACCAAACACCCATACACTATACATATATATACACACACACACACACACACACACACACAGACTAAGAATTGTTTTAAGGAGAGTGGTGTCTGCTCTGAAACTCCTAAAGGAAGTCACCTGCAGTACTTCTCATGGCATTGCTACTTGCTTAACTTCTTTCAGAACAACCCGTGTACTCTGTATATCCTCAGTACTGTCCAAAATTAAAACTAGACATTAAGGGGTTAGAGAGATGGCTCAGTAATTAAGAGCAATTGCTGCTCTTGCGTAAGATCTGGGTTTGGTCCCCAGCAGCCACATGGTGGCTTGAAACCATCCACAACTTCAGTTCCAGGGAGATCTGATGCCCTCTTTTGACCTCTGAGGGTACCACAAACCCACATGGTGCATATACATTCATACAGGCAAAACACTCACAGATATAAAATAAATAATAAATCTTAAAAACAAACAAACAAATAAAACTAGACATTGAGAGCCTGGCCACCTGACTCCCATTAGCAGCTTCATACTTGGCATGCAATAATAGGATAGATAATATTAATATCTATATGGGGTCTGGCCTCCAGCACCATACACATAAAAATTAATATTGCAATGTAATAATTTGTAAAAAAAATCACAAAGGCAAATTTTAATATCTATAACCCCATAACCCAGAAATAACCAGTATGTCTTGATAGAAACACCTAGAAAGATATTTATGTATATCTAGTTGTTGTTTTCTTTTTAAACACCAGAGCAACTGTGAACTTTTTTCCTAATATTTGTGTGTATCTGTATGCATGTGTGTGCATGGGAATGCAGATTTCATCCTCAGGAACACTGTCTCCGAGACATGGCCTCTCATTGTCCTAGAGCTCACTAGTTAGGCTAGACTGGCACATACCAGGGACCTGCCCATCTTTATCTCCCCAGCACTGAACTTTTAAGCATAGGCACTGTTCCCTGAAGTTTTACTTGAGTTCTGGGGATCACACTCAAGTCCTTAACTTACTGTCTCCTGCTCCTCAAACTCTTGATCTTCCTGCCTCAGCACCCAAATGCTGGGATTATGGGGTATGTATGTGTGTGTGTGTGTGTGTGTGTGTGTGTGTGTGTGTGTGTGTGTGTGTGTGTGTGTGTGTATGTGTGTGTGTGTGTGTGTTTCTTTTTTTGTTCTGTTTGTGTGTTTGACAGCATATAGCTGGGGTTGGGCTGGCATTTACAGTGTAGCCTAGGCTAGCCTTTAAGTTGCAGCAATTCTCCTGCCTCAACTTCCAGAGTGCTGGGTTTGCAGGCATGTACCACTGTGTATCTGTTTTGATAGCATACTATGCATTCTCTTCTTGTGTTCTGGTGCTAGTGCTCAAACCCAGGGCCTTCTGCATGGTAGGCAAGCATCTATCACTGAGCTACAGCCTTGTTTTTGTTGTTGTTTGTTTTTTGTTTTTTTAGTGGGGTGTCACTCTGTGGCCTTGAACGCTCAGAGATTTACTTGCTTTTGTCTCCAGAGTGCTGGGGTTAAATGGGTACATGACCTCTCCCTGCAAGTTAAATCTTTTTTTATTTTTTTACATCCTTTTTAAAAGGAAGGCTTTAGGGCCCTGCAAGATGGCTCAGCAAGTAAAGACACCTGCCGAGTCTGGTAGCTGAGGTTCCCACGTGGTAGGAGAGAACCATTCCCGCATGTTGCCCTCTGAGCTCCACATGCACATCACACCATGCATGAGCGCATCCATGCACAGGCACAGATAAATGGAGAGTTGTGGTTTTTGTTTGTTTTCCTTTCAAATACTGCATAGTAAAAGTTTAAGAGAAAATCAAAGTAAATCAAATCAAGATTCCTGTCTCATGAGTTTTAAAACATAGGTGCTGAAAAACATTCTGTTATTTGGGTAAAATAGTCTTAACTTCATTGCTTTTTCTTCCTGCTCCAGTTGCTGGGCATATTGGATTCTCCCCGTCGTGGGCGCTATTCTTGTAGGTTTCCTGTATCGTCACTTCACGAGCGACAGCAAATCCTCCTGAGGAGACCGTGCTGAAGTGTGGGAGCGCATGCTCCAGGGAGTGAGAAGTAGAGACTGACTTTGGAGGCTGCAGCAATGCTCCCTCCTTGAATCCTGCCAGTTCCCCCACTTGAAGCCAAGATGGTTGACCAGATGTCTATCCTCCTTCGATCTAGGACCAAGGTCCTTCGCCAGCCAGAGCCTGATGCCCAGAGCAGCTACTCACATTGTGTCCTTGCCAGGGTTTCTTCTCACTGGCTTCCACTTGTTCCCTTCATTTCGAGAGTTAATACTGATGATTAGCGTTCCTGTGTTGTATTGACACGGCCTTTGGGGACAAGATATGATTTCTGATACTTTGAATTTGCATTAGATATATTTAAGGGAACAGTACTCTAGTTTTGAATCTTTTCCTGTTTTTCTTTTAAGTAAATTTATTTTTTTAATTCTGATTTAATTTTGACATTTATCATAAGGGGTTTAATTCATGAAGTTAAGATGTGTCTCTCTTAGTTAAAACATAGCTGCCAATTATCTTATTTATGATTATTAAAAGTAAGGGGCCTGAAAGATAGATCTTAGGGTAAAAGCAATTGCCACAAAGCCTGATGACCTGAGTTTCATTCCCTGGACCCACATGGTAAAAGGAGAGAATCAATTCCCAAAAGTTGTTTTCTGACCTCCACATGGATGCTGTGGCCCTAGTGTACACGACAGGTACACACTTTTAGACATAACACACACAGGCACAGGCCAAGCACACATTAAACAAATGTAATTTAAAAAACATATACAAAAAAAATAAAAATTAAAAAAAAAAAAGACTATGTGGTTTTCTCCCTCCCAGATAGTGTAGCTGATGGCACCTCCCGTCCCTAAGTCCAGCCCCTTTCTTCCCAAGAGTACTTTACAAAACTCTGCATCCCTTTGTTTCATAGGTGTAGAAGAGCTGAAGAAAGGGACCAGTGAGTTAAGGTGAATTCAGAATAATCTCTTTTCAAAAGGGAACAAAACACCACTTACAGGACAGCAGTTTAAAGAAGCAAGCGACTTGCTCTCTCTGCCCAACACCAGTTTCTGATGGTCTTCCACCCTGGCCGTCTTTACTGGGGAAAGATAAGTGTTACCATGGAGCTTCCCTAAAGCCTGGGATTATGTCTGTGGGGCTTCACGGAAGGCTCTTGCTGTTTTTCTGTTTACCCATGAACAAAGTTTTGATTCCCTGTTTTACCAAAGTAAGAGACTCAAGTTTGGCCTTATCTCGGTAAAATAACTTACATATAAATGTCTTTGTCGGGGCATGCCGCTTCAGATCGGGAGACCTTGCCAAGAGACTTCTGTTCTCGTCTGTGGTTTACCTCCATGGCTCCAACTTGGTGATCTTGTTCTACTTTTCTTTTGAGGATTATTATGATAAGTCTGGAAGCTTTTTCCCCCTCTCCCTTGGATATGAATTTCATTGGAAAGTAGTTAATCGTTTAAAATTACTGTTTCTCATTGGCCCAGGCACTTTCCTGGCATCTTTGGCTTCATTCTTTTCCCCGTGGCGGTACCTGACAGTTTTCCAGCTGTTTTTTACCCATTAGCCAAGATTTTCCAGCACATCCTTTGTTCATTACCAGTCTGCTTCTGGGCTGTTGTCACATCCAGCAGGAAGCCATTCAATTCTAGAAGGACCAGAGATGCTGGGAAGTGTCTCCTGCCTCCCTTCCAGCTTGCCAGGGGCTTGACAGGACAGGAAACTGCACATTAAACCAGTCTGCCATGCAAACTATTTAAGAAAAAGTTCAGCCCAGGACTTCTATCCTGTGATTTAGCAGTTGAATGAATTCAGAATTCATCAAAATAGCATTAGCCTTTTCCTTACATACTTGGATATGATATTTTAGAGTAACTTCTAGATGACTTTTATATATCAGGGATATAGACTTAAACTTTCTCTTTAGAGATGTCTGTGATATGATAGATTGAAATTGTCGTCATTCTGTAACAAGTGCCGTGACTGAGTACGCCTCCACTTAAAGGCGAGGAAGGCTTGTGTGCAGTGAGGCCTGGAGTCCACTTCTGTGCTAGCCAGGCTACATGGAAAGAACAGAGGTACATGGAGGTACAGGAATGTTCAAGCTGACACTAAGCCTGAAGATAACTTGGATCAGTTGTGAATATGTTGGCAATCGGCTTTGCATCCAGTGAAAAACTTCTGGTTATAGGAAATGTTAAGAACTGGTTTTGGCTGGGCAGTGGTGGTGCACACCTTTAATCCCAGCACTTGTAAGGCAGAGAGGCAGGAGGATCTCTGAGTTCAAGGCCAGCTTGGTCTACAGAGCAAGTTCCAGGACAGCCAGAACTATATAGAGAGACCTTGTTTCAACACCCCCCACAAAAAAGAACTGTATTTTTTAAGTAAAATTGGTGTTTTGATATTTCTATGGTAAACATCAATACAAAAATCGTGTTTTTCTGTTTCACATCTGTGTCCTTTCCCTGCTTTTATCTGAGTTTGTTTCTTTTACTGAGAGCCAGAAGGAAAAGATTTTCATACTTTTGTCTTTGCCATTTATGAAATCCATCTAATACCCAGGGCTTCTTTTGAACCACTGATAATGTGATGTCATTTTATGTTATAAAAAAAGTTGCTTTTTTTTTTTTTTTTGGCCAGGCATGGTGGTGCATGACTTTATTCCCAGTGCTTGGAGGCAGAGGCAGACAGTTCTTGAGTTTTAGGTCAGCCTGGTCTACATTGCAAGCTTCAGGCCAGCCGAAGCTACATAGTGAGACTGTCTCAAAACAAAATCACAAAACCCCTTTTAGGTCTGTCCGCTATATAATTCTGTTGCCTACATAAACAGCTAGGGGATGAGGGAGGTCTTAGCTGAGAGTTTGTTAAGACTTTTCCTAAACAAAGCAATACAGCATGTGCAGCAAATGCATTAAGAAAGACTGAACTTGTTAAAGAAGCCTTGACATTTGTGGGTCATGCAGAATGTCCCTGTTGGCTGAGAGTACCCCTAACTTGTGGGGTGTTTGGTTGTTTATTCTTAAAGTGGCCTGCTGCCATCAAACACAAAAGAGGGAATTTGTGCTACTGAGACACAAGGTGTTACTGCCCATTCTCTTAAAGTTCCTACCTGGCCCTGGGAGCTGGTTTTCCTTTCCAAGTGACTGCATGTTTGGAAAGAAAGCAATGGGGCACAGTTTATGGGCTGTGTTTACAACTCCTTGTGTGATTACTTAAGCAGAGACGAGTCTGTCTGTCCAAAGCTATCATTTGAGCTATAGGCTCTTTCAGCAGTTGCTGCCGGGGCTGATGGTGTTGGGTTTGTGCTCATTTCGTGCTGCTGTGGGGCAATGAGAAGTGCTGTTACAGACGGATGTGTCATCACGGATGGCACTCACACTTCATCTCAGGTGATACCCGTCTGGCTGAAGTCCACCTGGGGGACTGAAGCACAGCATGACTGTTGTTGCCTCCTACCCCAAGGGAAATGCATCCAGACATGGCATGTCTCAACAAGAAACTGAAGGTTTGAAGCTGTGCGATTCAGTTGCCAGATATCGCAAAAGTAAAGGAGAGCTCCGCCATATTTGGCCAGCTTTGGAATTTGTGGGGGTGACCTAGGAGGGGGTTTCTGAAGAAGCAGAGATGTGCCAGTCACCTGCCTTATGCCCAGTGTCTTACTCAAGAATTTCAGTGGTCACTCCTTGCCCACGCCTGTATCGCCTACACTGGCTGCTTGGGCAGAACACCATTTCAGTTTTTTAACTTGCTTTCTACTGCACCCTCCACTGTGAGTAACTAATATTAACATTCCTTCTGTGTATTCAGTGATGGAGTTTGTTTACCTATTTGATTTCAGCTTATTTTGAACAAAGATCTTTGTCTCTTTCTACTGGCATGTGCACACAGTGAATGTTTGTTAGAACTACACAATAAAGATACTGTTTTCCTTTTCTTGCCCTGACTACAGTTGCTTTTTAAATTAAAAAATCGGCTTTTTTTTTTTTAAAGAAATGTTGGTGCTGTACTCCTCAGGTATTCTGAATGAAAATAGTTGGGGTGCACAAAGTTCTGTATCTCTGCCAGCATTTGTTTGACCTAAGTGACAGTGTGCTGTGGCTCTCCGGGGTTCCTTGTTGGAAGTGGATCTCTCACTTGATAGTTGCAAGATAGACCAGCTCTCCAGGTTCTGCCGTGCTGAGAGATGATGTGAGCAGGAACCAAAGAACAATCTGGAGTTCTATTTCTACTGGTGAAGAAAAGCCAACACGAGGTAATGTTTTATTATCTGCAGCGCTGGGCCTCAAATGATTGTTTTTCTTGGAACTAGCTAAACTGTTGGGGAAATTTAAAAACAGAGGTTGAGGTTCTGGTGATTGTGTGAAGGAAGGGAATAAACCGTTTTTATAATTACCTCTCTCCCAGACGGATAGCCTTCTAGCATGACCAACAGTAGGTCAGAGTAGATCACTCCTTAGGGCCTGGTGATTCCACTGTGGCAGGAGTCGGGATCAGTGACAGGAAGGGATAGCCCCATTCTTATGCCAGCCTTTGAACCTCATGTCTAACCTCTGATGCTAATAAGAATTCATTATCAGGCCTTCTTCCTGCTGTTTGGTAGATGCGTGACAAATCTTGCTTGATTCATGATAATCTGAGAAGGCTATGATTCCATTTACAAAAATTTAGAGTAAGAAAACCCTACGTAACTTCTGTGTATTCAAAGCTTGATCAGTCAGTCACTTTTATGCTTGCTTGCTTCTCTCTCTCTCTCTCTCTCTCTCTCTCTCTCTCTCTCTCTCATTTTTTTGTTTGTTTGTTTTGTTTTTGTTTTTGTTTTTTTTTGAGACAGGGTTTCTCTGTGTAGCTTTGCGCCTTTCCTGGAACTCACTTGGTAGCCCAGGCTGGCCTCGAACTCACAGAGGTCCACCTGGCTCTGCCTCCCAAGTGCTGGGATTAAAGGCGTGCGCCACCACCTCCCGGCTCTCTCTCGTTTTTTGAAAACAGGGTTTCTCTGTGTAGCCTTGGCTGTCTTGGAACTCGCTCTGTAGACCATGCTGGCCTCAAACTCAGAGATCTGCCTGTCTCTGCCTCTCAAATGCTAGGATTAAAGTTGTGCACCACCACTGTCCAACTTGTGCGTGCATTTTGAAAACTTAATTTTTGAGGTAGAGATATGGCTCAGCAGTTAATAGCACTGGTTGCACTTCCAGTGGACCTAGGTTCAAGTCCGGGTACCCACATGACAACACACAATCCAACATCCTCCTCTGACCTCTACAGTCACTGTTCATAGGTGATACACAGACATATATACAGACAAAACACCTATACACATAAAAGAATATAAAAACAGACGATTCCTTTATAAAGCACTGAAAAGAGACAAATTGTTTTTCTGATGAATTAGGAATGCAGCTGCAAAACTTTATCACTTACGTGACACCTGCTGTGTGTTACCAAGTGACTGATGGCTCCAGACATTACTGATCTTTAGTCTTACTGTAGCTCCTGAGTGAAATGGGATGTCCAGGTTTCTCAGATTTTACTATTGAGTCAGAAAGTCATGGGGGTGGGGGGCAGAATTTGAACCTGGCTGGCTGGGGTTTTTGTTTTGTTTTTGCTTTTTCAGACAAGGCCTCACCATGTAGCCCAGGATGGCCTCTGAATTCAGCATCCATCTTCGGCGTCCCTAGTGCTAGGATTATAAACTGATGCCACCACCTGTTTCTGTATTGACAACAGGCTCAAAATAACTCAATGTTCTGGCAAAATAGATTCTGTTGTTGTTTTCCTGGTGCTGATGATCCAACCCAGGGCTTTCATACATGGTAGGCAAGTACTGTACCACTAAGTGGCATCTGCCACACCAAAAGTGTTTATTAATTATTTAAGCGTCTTGCTGTCCACCTAAGCTGGCCTAGAACTCCAGCTCGCCTACCTCACACACTTGCGAGCATATGGTTAAAAAGTATTCAGATATGCAGGTATCAAGGAAATGCCTCTGGCTATCCAAGTGAATGCCTGTAATCTCAGAGCTTGGGAGGTTGGGGCAGGTAGATCTTGAATTTGAGGCCAGCCCAGGCTTCAGAGCAGAAATCCTGCCAAAACAAACAAAACCTTCAAGCTGATGTACAAGAAGGATATGTGTTCGGGAACTGTCCTTAGAATGGTCTAGATGATGGAGGAAAATCACTGCGTGTGGGAGCACAGAGGAGCCTGTGTGGGTGCTGTGTATGAGAGTGCACACTGATCTCTATTTAAAGTGTAAAGTCAGGCAGCAGTGACAAAAGCCACGAGAACGTTCTGTTCAAGATGGCATTAAATACCAGAGGAAACCTCAGAGTTGAGAAGCTTTCCTGTGGCTCAAGAATTGGGAGGAGAGCCGGGCGGTGGTGGCGCACGCCTTTAGTCCCAGCACTCGGGAGGCAGAGGCAGGTGGATCTCTGTGACAGGCCAGGCTGGTCTACTGAGTGAGTTCCAGGACAGACTCTAAAGTTACAGAGAAACCCTGTCTTGAAAAACTGGGTGGGTGGGGGGGGAGAAAGAAAGAAAGAATTGGGAGGAGAACTGAGTATGGTAATACACGCCTTTGATCCCAGCCCTGGGAGGCAGAAGCAGGCAGGTTTCTGTGAGTTTGAGGCTAGCCTGATCTACATAGAAAGTTCTAGGCCAACCAAGGCTACACAGTGAAACCCTGCTTTAAAAAATTATAAAAAAAAAAAAAAGGAAAAGAAAAAGAGTAAGTGGGGAGTGTATTAGTCCAAGTTCTCTATAGGATCAGAACTGATAGAATGAATTTATATATTATATAAATTCTACATAGATAAAGGGGATTTATTAGAATGGTTTACAGGCTCTGGTCCAGCTAGTCCAAAAAAGGCTGTCTAACAACAAAACGTCCAAGAATCCATTAGTTGTTCAGTCTACGAGTCTGGATGTCTCAGCTGGTCTTTAGTATATGCTGGAATCCCAAAGAAGTAGGCTCTAATGCCAGGGAGGGAATGGACTGGCCAGCCAGAGAAAGCAAGCAGGCAGGCAGGCAGACAGATTCCTTTTTCCATGTCCTTTATATAGACTGTCAGTAGGTGTGGCCCGGATTAAAGATGGATCTTTCCACCTCAAAAGATTCAGATTTAGTGTGGGTCTTCCCACGTCAAATGATTTAATTCAGAAAAATTCCTGACAGGTGTGCCCAGCTGCTTGAGTTTTAGTTAATTCCAGATGTAGTCAAGTTGACAACCAAGAATAGCCGTCACAAGTCTGACCCTTGTCAACTGGACACACACTGTACCTCCTAATGGGGCAACCTGGGTATGGTGGCATACCCCTTTAATCCCAGCATTTAGGAGGTGGAGGCTGGAGGATCAAAAAATGACGATCATCCTTGGCTATATAGTACATTGGAGATCTGTAGTCAGAAGGTTTCTCTGGTCCCACCAAGCCCCCAAAGTCCCATGGCCCACTTAGAAAATAATCACTCAGAAGCTTATATTAATATAAGCTTGTAACTGCTTGGCCATTAGCTCAGGCTTATTACTGACTAGCTCTTACACTTAAATTAAACCATAATTCTTATTTATGTTTAGCCATGTGGCTTGGTACCTTTTCTCAGTTCTGCCTTGTCATCTTGCTTCCTCTGTGTCTGGCCGGTGACTCCTTCGGTGGCAGCTGGTGTCTCCTCTTTCTCTCTTTTCTTCTTCCTCTCTATCTGCTTGAATTTCCTGCCTGCCTCTAAGCTGCCTTGCCATAAGCCAAATGCTTTATTTATCAACCAATCAGAGCAGCACATATTCACAGCATACAGAAAGACATCCCACAGCAAAAATCAGTCTGGTCTATAAGAGACCTCATTTCAGAAAAAGCAGACATCAGGCTGGGTAGTGGTGGTGCACGCCTTTAATCCCAGCAGGGAAACACAAAACAAAAAAGCGAAAATCAAGGCTGGAGAGATGGCTTAGTGCTTAAGAGCACTCACTGGCGGCTCTTCAAGAGGAACCACCTTAAATTCTCATCACCTACATGGCAGCCCAAATCTGTAACTCCTGCCCAGGGTTCCACCACCCTCTGAGGGCACCAGCCACACACATGGTACACAGACATGCATGTAAGCAAAATGCCCATATACATATAATAATAATAATAATAATAATAATAATAATAATAATACTTTTAAAAAATGGGCAGGTGAGATGGCCTAGTGGGCAGAAGTACATTCTATACAAGCCTCACAACTGAATCAATCCCCCAACCCATGTAAAGATGGGAAGAGAGAACAGACATTTGTTCCAACCCCCACACCTGTGTGTGCCTAAACTCACATACACATAATCATAACAAGATAAACAACTAAAAACAAAAAAGAACTGGCGAGGCGCCAGCCTGGTGCCACATCTATAATCCCAGCTACTTGCGAGAGGGTTCGTGGTAGGTCCATGTGTGGCTCTCCATGTGGAAACTTGAAGAACCAGTCTGCTCTAGCAGGAGACTGTAACACTATTAACCTTTAGAAATAAGTACATGTGCTGCATTGGCTCAAAATACAGTTTTCAAGCCGTGCGTGCTAGCTAGTTTTATGTCAGCTTGACACACCTGAAATCATTTAGAGAGCCTCAACTGAGAAAATACCTCCATCAGATCAGGCTGTAGGCAAGCCTGCGGGACATTTTCTTAATTAGCGATTGATGTGGGAAGGCCCAGCCCATCGTGGTGCTGGTTCTGGATTCTATAAGAAACTGGGCTATGCCGGGCGGTGGTGGCGCACGCCTTTAATCCCAGCACTCGAGAGGCAGAGCCAGGCGGATCTCTGTGAGTTCGAGGCCAGCCTGGGCTACCAAGTGAGTTCCAGGAAAAGGCGCAAAGCTACACAGAGAAACCCTGTCTTGAAAAACCAAAAAAAAAAAAAAGAAAAAAAAGAAACTGGGCTGACAGCCTGGGTGCAGATTCTGACTCAT